ATCGAATGGCATACCAGGAATGCCGGGAATTCCTGGCGCCCCAGGGCCACAAGGACAACAAGGAAAAGATGGAGCTGAGGGGGAGGGATCTAGAGGCATGACGGGGAGGAGAGGGGAAAAAAAGGAAATAAAAGGTCACGTGGTAATAATGGTGCCCCTAGAATGAAGGGATTTAAAAAATATGATTGTTATGTAGGTTGTTTAGGTAGCAGATGCTTTAGAAACTGTTTAAGGTGGCCAATTTACATCATCAGTTCAGTGGATAAAACCAAATTATCTTGTAATACCCCTCACCGACTCAGTATCACAGTTACAAAATTACCCTCTTTGAATATCAAAGGGCATGGCTGCCTTTTCCTGCTGCATTTTGCTAATTAAAACACCGTTGTCTGTGATATTTGAAAAAGGAATCAAGCTAATGATTGCTATCACCTATTTCCACAATCAAACACGTCATTACTCCAGTTTAATTAGATGCTCAGTTAGACAAGTATATGAACGTTTTGGGGAAATGGCTTGAGCAAACTGGGTGGAAGGCACCATGAATATTGGATCCCAAAATCTTCTTATTTTATGTAACATATCTTGCTGTTACAACTTTAACCCTAACTTACTCTCACTTACTACTATCACCAAAAAGATCTGCAAAGATATTCCCACTTAGTTGTGTTTTCTTAACCTTGGAAGTTGACACCACACCTGTGTACTATGCGAGATAGCGGCACATAAGACTGCGTGAAAAATAATCTGAAGCATTGAAGGTTTACATTCGAGAGATAAATTCCGTTATCCGATAACAGTAACAGATGTGACCCTTACGCTGATAAAAAAAACCTTCAAGTCTTGTAGAAAATGAAACACCTAAATTAGTGGTAATTATAAAAACATCACTTTCGAGAACATACCAAAATGAGACACAAAAATATCGTTCTTGATTTGAACTACACAAAGGCGAGTCTGCAATTTGTACCATTAATACACAAAAACTGTCTTTGGATATGAAAATATATCTGAAATATCAAAGGGCTTGACCGCTTTTATCCTGCCACAGTTTTTCAATTACAATGCTGTGATCTGTGATATTTAAAAGCATGAACGAAACATTGTCACCAACCAACTGGAGACCGTATGTGTGGAAAATATATGACAGATAGAGATCGTATGATAGACATCGTGGAAAGATTAAGATACAGAAATATCCAGAAAATGCTATGAAAAATAAATCAAGTGTTAGAACCAATTTGTCATGGCTATCTCTGAAAGACACTTTTGAGAAATGCTATCTAACGAAAAATATCAATTAACAATTCTGTTCATTCCAGCAGGCAGAAAAAGTACAAGGTCATCATCAAATTATTTCTTATAACACTCTTATAAAACATGAATTTTTCCACAAGACTATCTTCTCGGTATAATTTGTAGGAGTGCTCGTTTAACAAGCTGCATTCGGATACAGCTATTTAAGTTTAAAATTTTTCATTCCAACGAGATAGCGGCACATAAACTGTGTGGAAAATAATCTGAAGCATTAAAGGCTTACATTTTAGAGATAAATTCTGTTATCCGATAACAGTAACAGATGTGATCCTTAAGCTGATAAAGAAAAACCTTTAAGTCTTGTAGAAAAATGAAACACTTAAAATAGTGGTAATTAGTAGAAACATCACTTTCGAGAACATACCAAAAGAGACACAAAAATATCGTTCTTAATTTTAACAACACAACACGAGCCTACAATTTGTGCCATTAATACACAAAAACAGACATACACAAAGACAGACAGACAGCATGAATACCGCACCCGACCATAGAACAAATAAACCAGGCGCTTCAGAGTCTACAGAAACGCTCTCCTGAACATCTGAGGGCTTGACCGCTTTTATCATGTCGCAGTTTGTGAATTACAACACTATTATCAGTGATACTTAATAGCGGGTCAAACTAAATAATGCTATCATGGGTGCCGCTACGGGCCATTTTTTGCCGGGAGGAGGGGGGATTTGTAACTTTTAGCAACGCGGGAGAAGCTTTCTTTATCGGGTGTTTCACAATAACAGATATTTTACAAAGCACAGACTATTTCTATTAACCCTGAGCTCAAGCTCGGTCAGCACCTTGTCGATGGACGCATAGTAACTGTTCATACGGTGGTGCGATTCCGGTGTCAGCCGGGTTTGTCTTTGCACATGATCACCCACAAGGTCTTGAAGGCTGCGCGATGGCGTTTGTCTGAGTGCCCTGGCTTCTCGTAATTCAAACTGAGAATTGTTTAACCACTTCTTAACTTTAAGACCCATTGTTGACACTATCTGCCATACACTGTTGGAACCTTCTTCACTACGACACCGGCGTAAGGTCTGAATGGTCATGTCGGCATTTCTACGAGTGGAAATGACGTCGACCGTCTTCCCCTGAAGATATCAGCACAGACTACGAGTGTTGCTCAGAATTGCTCTCAACACACAGTCCGGAGATGAATTTAACTGGCTTTACCACGCCGACTTAAGCTCAAAATAAAAAAAAATAACTCTTTCAAAGAAAAAAAAGGCGAAACGAAACATGGAAACTTTTGTAAAAATTTGGTTTGCCCAAATTTCTCTTGCTGCCCCCAAAATCTTAGTTGCCCAAAATTCGGGGGGGCAGGGGGAGGGGGGTGTTGCAGCCCCCCAGCCCCAACGGCACGTACGCCTATGGGTGCTATAACCTGTTTTTTTCAATTAAATAATGGAGTAATAATAATAGAGTGGATCCAACAACATGGATACTGAAAACGAGCAAAGGATAAATGAATATCATATCACAGACCATATCAAACTTTACTTCTCAATATGTCACGTTTGATCAGAAGAGGAAGATTTTGTGGCCCAGATTTTACTGCGTAATTTCTCTGAATCTGAGTGAAACATTGGTCTGTTGGTCAGTACGTGCTTCATTAGTGAACTGATAAGGATATTACAGTCAAGTTGTTTACCCGGTGTGTGAGTTCGAGTAGTTTCAGACATCCTTATCATTTAGCTCCAGGCTTCTTAATTAAGATTGTTATTTAACATGAGAACTGACAGTTGCATTTAATGAAATTCAGTAGGATATAAATAGGCGCGTACATAAGGAGATATATATTTCAGTCATAGAACACGCACTATTCGCGCAAAGTAACCATCGAAGTATGGCAAAGCTCCTGATCCTGGCTGCTTTGTCATTTGTCTCATTCAAAACAGGAGTAAGTTCCGTGGGAACAACCACCAGTCCTCAACAACAGAATCCACAAACTGGCGCTGACAAAGACCCATGTGAGGTACTCTTAAGCATGCTTTATCCACGGTTATTTACTACAAAATCGCATGTACTTCATGACGCGTTCATTTGTCACACCTAAGTTTAACCACTCATGTCTGCCAGGCTAAGCGCAAAACAAATCCCTCATCAATCATAAGTTTTCAAAGACAAAGTGGAACATTGCTGAATTAATTTTCTTTAGGGATATCTCTATGTATAGAGCGTTACGAGATCATTCAATGTTCCGAGCTGTTTCTCCTAAAACGAAGCTAAATTCTCATCAAGATTAGTTTCTGAAGAAACTGCTGGGCTACTTCGGCTAACAAGTAAATATCAATGAACATCAAGTACATCCCTCAAATTACAATTTCTTCCTCAGAAATCCAATTTTGCTCACGGATTTTCTGGGATTCCAGGATCGAATGGCATACCAGGAATGCCGGGAATTCCTGGCGCCCCAGGGCCCCAAGGACAACAAGGAAAAGATGGAGCTAAGGGGGAGCCTGGTGTCAAGGGACCGAGAGGTATGACGGGAACAAGAGGACTAAAAGGAAATCCAGGGTCACTTGGTAAAAATGGTGCACCTGGAATGATGGGAATGAAAGGAGATAAAGGTCATGAAGGGCCGCGTGGAGAGCAGGGATCTAAAGGAGAGAAAGGAGAAATCGTGAATGGTGCAGTGTCACAGACCAACTGGAAACAGTGTGTGTGGAAAAATTCTGATCCTAGAGATAGTGGAAAGATTAAGGTACAGAAATATCTAGAAAATGCAATGAAAAATAAATTACGTGTTAGAGCCAATTTGTCATGGCCATCTTAAAAAGAGACTTTTGAGAAATGCCGCCAAACTAAAAACATCAATTAAAAATTCTGTGCATTCTAGTGGACAGGAAAAGTACAAGGTCATCATCAAATTGTTTCCTATAGTACTCTTATGGAGCATTTTTTTTCTGCACTAAGACTGTCTTCATGGCATTTTTTAATAGGATTGCTCATTCAACAAACTGCAATCTGATACAACTATTAAAGTGACATTCCAAGGAAATATGGGAGTCTATGGCCCTTCAGATAAATGCAACCGGTGGTTTATCAAGTTTAATGGAAATGAATGCAGTGGACCAATGACAATTGAGGCTGCTGTGTACAACAATTGGCCATCTGGGAGTCCTAATCTGCTTCATCACAGATCATTTGAGGGATACTGTGAAAACATTCCACAGGGCAGGGTTACTGTGGAGTTATGGGTAGGAAAGTGTCCTGGTTACACACTGGGTAATGCTAACACTGGATGGAACTCAGTATCCCGCATAATGATAGAGGAAGTGTCTAGAGCCCAGTCCTAATTGCCCTGTTATCTTCACCTAAGGACTGGAGTAGAATATTCTCTTTTCATTCATCCATTATTTTAGATTCATAATTTTCTCACATTCTCCATACCACCTAAAAATTGAAGTTGCTGTTTGTCACAAATACTATTTTGCCCTGATAATGTTAGATGTTATGAAGATTTGTTTATTCCAATTTCAACCTTGTGCTTCTTTTTAGTCACATCTACTTTTCTTTGTACTTTTTAGTTTATGCTATGCACCAGTAGATACCTTCATCCCCTATTAAAAATTTTTTCCTGAATTATTTTAAGTTTGTCTCTGCATTAGAATAAAACTGTTTGACATGTGTTAGTCAACAAAATGGTAGTTTCTTTAATCATTAGTGATACAACTCTATGTGCTTCTTTGCATTTTTCGTTACATAACAAGCCAGATATAATCTCTCTCTTTTTATCATTATTTCTATCATCTTTTTCTCAGTATCTTGCAAATTAGTCTTGAAACCCTTTAAAAACATTAAATGAAGACAAAAGATTCATAGCATGATCACAAATTGAAGGGAAAATAATGTTTATCATGGAATTTCACAATTGATTCAATATTTTTAAATTGAATTGAATACACAACTAGACTTTTTATGGAAATATATTTTCTCCATCCTGTTTGTTCTGGAAATTCATTTGGATTTGGTGGTACATCTGGAATTTCCTTGATATAAAAAGTAGATACAAAATGTCAAAGGATCAGAGAGCACAGACAGCCCAAGCTCACAACAAGAGTATCATTTTTTTTTAGTTAAAAAATGAGATGCAAAGTGGCAGTTTCAGTATGCAAAACATTACTCTTGCCTTGCAGAAGACCTCTGTTGTATTACAAATTTTGAAATAGTTTAAAATGTTTCAAAAGAGTAAAAAGATTTAGTGACCAAAGTAAGGTTTTATTGTAGATGTTAAGAATTCATGATTATAAAATAAACTCCGTGCCTAATCACTTTATATTGCCTTTTACTTGATCTCACCTAGAGCAATTAGGTAAGTTAATAAAACAAATTATTCTCATTTTTCCATAATCCTTACTCATTCCCAGTCCTTAGTCACTTTTTGTAACATAGGGCAGAGGAGAATTCAGTTGGAAGCTGATTGTGTACTTCAGGAATTACAACTTGGAATAGGTCAGCTTTTCACAGAATCAAAACTTTTTCATAACAATTTTGCCCCCTTTTGACCAGAGTTTCCATGTCTATACAAGTGGAAAATTTCCACCAACAAAGAGCTGCACCTAAAAATGGCAGCTCTAGTTCATTATTGACAATCCGTGAAACCTACAATCAATTCCAAAAAGTGATTGATGCGGAATTTCTCTCCATAATTCCACTGTATCATTCAGTGAGCAAGTAGTATGAATGATTTAACTTAATGGGTACAAGATACAATTTTAATTCTCTAAGCTTTCTAATTTCTTTGCTAATATATATTAGCAGCTTGGGAGAATAAAAAAACAAATCTTGAGAATAAAGAGTCAAGTTTCTCCACTACAAAGGCCAGGATACCCCAGCAGGCATTCTCAGATTTATGGTTCTACACTCTGCTGTTCATTTGTGTTTTCTTGTTCTTGTTTTCTTCTTTCTAGACATCTTTTTTACTCTTTTCTGACATAAAATTCATCTGTAGGACATACAAGTGAGAGGTTTGATCTTCATTTGTCAACTTTTTGGTTAATGTTTTCACTCCCAAGATTCATTAGTGGTTCTCCTTACTCTCTGTCATACAATTCTTGTGATGTGAGTTTTGAGAACTTGGTATTGGATTAACTAACAATTACTTCTTGATATTTTGATATATCCTCATCACTTTTCTGCTTAATATTGTATTGATATTGTAAGGAGAAACTCTGTTTTGGTCACTCATGGGAGTTAAAGTGTTAGCAATGAAAGTATAACTGTCAGAAATGACTGTTTCCATTTCTCCTTTTGCCTCAGCTGATTTATTTTTGTACCAAATCTCTCTCGAAGTCAATTTAAAATTAAAGGAAACACTTCAAATTTAAAGATTTCAAAAATGTCAATTTTTCCCATTTACCAAATGCCAATGTTTCTGATGGTGGCTGGAGTCCTACACTTAAAAACAAAGCCGTAGTCACAGAGACCATCTACTCTTTACGGCATTAATTTCATTATCCAAGTACTGTATGCATAATGACATATGGAGCTGTGAAGAAATTTAACCCAGTCATTTTGCGACTACGAATGGAAAAATCAACAGCGCCCTTTTAAAACTGCAAGCGATCCTCATGCAGCAAACGAAGTCTTATTATTTAAAGTGGTCGTGAATAGTTCATATGGAAAATTATACAACAAAAATGACCCACTTAAAATAAAATGTGTTCGTACTGTCGATAAAGCTTTGATTAATAAAAAACAAATATAAATAAAAGAAGACGGTACTTTTATCAGATCAACGTACACGATTAATAGTTAAGCTCACTTACAAAAACTTTCGTTTCCAATGCGAACCGTCATCATCATAGGTAGCTCAATCCCAGCTCCAGCGGCTAAACTTCAGAATACCCCGCAACTTTGGTCCGCCTCACTTACATGTGTCGGGAGGCTTCGAAGATCGAGGCATAACACAACTGACGCTATTCTTATTCAATGACATGTAAATGAGTTGCGGGGTATTCTGAAGTTGCTCCGCTCCAGCAATAAAAAAAGGGCAAGAATTAATGGACAAAGAGGCGCCGTAAAATCGTTCCTATTTTTTCTTCAAACATGGGATTCTCAAAGGTAAAAAAGCCTGTTGTAATTTCAATCGGCCGCCGTGTTGAAAGTCAGCATATTTGACCACCAAATTCTTTGAACTTTTTACCGCTGGTAATCTTACTACAGGCGCATAACTTTTAAGAACGATAAGCTCATCGATTTGGTGAGTCGGTGGGCGTGTATGTATGTATGCCCTGGTTCACGACTGAAACTTAACGCGATCACGAATAAAAGGATGCAGAATCAAGAGGGATCCCTTCGTTACAGCCCTTACTTGTGAGTGGTATTTATATTTCTGCCTTAACCAAACGAGATCACTTGTGTGTCAATCTGCACTAATAGAAGCTTTCAGAAAGAACATTTCAGCTGTTGATATACATTTTGATGGATCAGGTATTTTAACCGATAAGTTTTTTTGCTTTGCAGCAGAAAAAAGTCAGGATGAAGCCAAAGAAACAAATAATTTGAAAGAAGAATGCAGAAACACCGGGAAAAGTCCAAAAAAGCTAAGACGTTCAGTCAAAGAGACTTAGGGAAATGTCTGAAGAAGATGTGTTGAAACTAAAGCATCCAGAACATCTAGACTACAATCTGGATATTTTGTTTGTAAGCATATTGATGTATCTTACATAGCTGTCTGGAGCTGCAGATGAGGGATGTTTTCATTTCATCACGAGAGAGTCGCTGACGTTACTTTCCTGGACTAGTTTTAGAGTTAGAGAATTATTTGGACGTTTTATTGAGTTTTTTTTTTTAAGAAAAAAAAAACTCTATTTTAACGAGAAGAGTGGTATGTTGCTCGCACCAATCTGATCTACATTAACCAGAAATTTGGGCTTATTTGATAAGTGTTATGATTGTGGCCTTTGCAAGAGCCTCGTCGAGTGAGGTCGAGATTTATCGGGATATGAAAGGTTCGCCTTTACTTCTATTGTATATAATTTTTAATTTAAAATGTGTTTTTCCCGCTCCTTTTCTCACAACACACACGCCAAACAACTTACATTCCATCACGTACTATGAAAACAACGTCCAAAGTCCAATTTGAATATACCCAATCACTGCACGACATGAAGATAAGGCAATTTTTTTCACGTGCTTGAATTGTATTCTACTAATCAAATTCCATTTTGCCACATTAGACTTCGCTCTGTCACGTGTCATATCCTTGTAAACAACCTGCATTTTATCACGTATTCCAACCGCATTATCCAACACCAATGAAAAAATTCACATGGAACTTTATGCTATTGATAGTGAATTTTCCACGGATTCTCCCGCATTTTGACTTTTTCTAGGACTAAAAGTGGCTTTCAGCTACCTTGGAATTAACTTAATTGCATGTTAATTCCCTGTAAACAACCTGCATTTTATCGCGTCTTTCATACCAAACATAGGGCAAAGCCCTCATACGAGATCGCAACTCCTTGGTTAGGGTCTTTTGGAGATACAACATTTTCAGTCTGCTCAGAAGTAGTTAAACAATAGAGACAATAGACCACAAAAATACCTGTCTGACGTTACATAAATCATTTTTTCATCTTTCTCTTGAAGTGAAGTAATGCGATATTTCGTTCTTTTGAAAGTTATGAAAACATTAGGAACACAGACTGTACAACTTGCTCAGCTAAAAAATAACTCTTGCATGTTACGCATGCCTATGTTTTCATATTGGTTGGTTGCTTGATTGATAAAACTCAGCAAGTAATATATGCATCTATTTTGGACAAATTTATGGCTCCTTTCCCTTACAGGTTGGAATAAATCCACGTTTGATGGCAGCCTACAAATTAGAAGGGACACCACTATGCAGGAGCAAATAATCAGTTCTGTAGATAATTTATTTATTTGCTCACATTTGATGAACCATCGTCAATAATTCATCACTAGTTCATTTAAATTTAAAAAAAAGTTACAACAAGGTTCAACTCTAAGATTTCCATTAAAATTTCATATTCCTGGGATATTAACTTAGGGTTACTGTCAACAAAATCTGGTCAAAATTTTCAAAATGTCGTTTATTTGCTCTTGAGTTAGATAAATCATCTAAGTTTAATTAATGGAAAGAAAAAATATAAAATCTTAAATAGAATGTGAGATTCGGCTGAAAGAGTTTTTTAGGGTAGCTAATATACACTATGAACTGTAGTTTTATGAAAATTCCATGAATTTCATGTGAAAAACCCATGAAGATCATTTCATGGCCCATGAATACTGCAAAATTAAATTTCATGGGGTTATTTTTAGCCCTGAATTTTCCATGAATTAGG